ACGACCACTTCCATTATTGGATCTGTAACTCCATTTGATTACACATACATTCAAATCTCCTATGATTACAACTTACGACCCTTCGCAAACATCCACTACCAAACCATTGAATATGAGGTAAAATCCGAAATGTGTCCACCAAGGGAGAATATACCCACTATGAAAGTCAGCTTTTATCTACAGGCTTTGTGGTGATATGTTTATACGAGATATTAAGAACATCGTTTTCTTAAACTGTCCTAAAATTTGCAGCATGGGATTTTTTCTAAAGAGTTCTTGTCTTGGGTCGCCTCAAAGCAAGAAATACCATGATGCTCTTCATTTCGGAAAGTGCTCTTAACAAACCCAAAAGTTTTTTTATTAATATTCTATATGAAAACATAAGAGGCTAAATACTAAGCTACGCTTTACAGGGTTGACTGTGAATATGAAATTGCAACACTCACTAAGACTTTAAGTAAGTTGTTGTTATTATTATAAATTAGTTAGATAACATCGTGTTTTTATACTACATACATGCGCATGAACATATGCATTTATTTAAAACGCACAATGTAGATTGCAATTCAATAAGAAACAAGCAAGCTCTTGAATTCTGGCTATCCTAGCTTTCGTACGCCAGAAATTCGTAATATTCACTGGTAATTGTTTATTGGATTGCGTATCCAACAACAAGAACAATTTCAAAGTCGGAGAAAACTCAGAATGCGCTGCTATATCCTTATAGCGGCTTTAGTAACCATAGCTGAGTTCCAATGTAGAATTCTCTATATATAAGAAAGTAAAACATTTTAATATAAAATTGCATTTTTTAATTTTAGTTTAGAAATGATGATGACGTCACTAAAAGATTAACAGGCGACGCAAAGCAGCTTAACAAGGCGATCACTGCGGGTTAATCTGGCGCAAATATGAACGTTTATCTCGCCCATTTAAAAACGACGAATAACATTTCTATGATAGCAATTGAAAAATTGAATGAGACGTGCAACTAAGTGCTTTCACTCTTTAAAGTTGAACAAAATAATTATCATGAGAGTTCTCTTAAGCATAAGCTTAAGTAAGCTCGAAGAAAAACGCGTCTTTTCTCTTCAACTAATAGTTCATGCTTCATTTTAATTCAATTCTTACTTCTATGATAATAGTATAGTGTGCCGTGAATACATATGTAATTAGAAATAATAATTTAACTTATAACAGGGTGGATAAATATAACACTACTCGCACTTTTAAATGATTTTAACGACTCAATAACCTTGGGTTGAGATCTCAAGTACGGTAGAGTTTTCAATAAAGGCTTTAGACTTTAGTCTTGTCTTAGAATTTACGTCTTTGGCTAAATTATTTATAATAATAATAAATAAGAAAGTTACAATCGCCGGGGGTCGAATCTCGCATACCCATTATCAGGCTTTTCGCATTCTAGTCTCCAAGTTCTTTTATTTGATATCTACATTGCTAGTATTATTAACCAAAAATTAATCGCGATGTCTACCGTATGCATTTTAGGATTAACCCAGTTTCAGGCAGACAATATATACTCATTTGAGGAATGTACAAAATAGTTTTAAACATTCTGTCTTGGTTCTGTTATGATAAATAAGCATAAACCCTCAAAAAAGTGAAAAAAAACAAAATTTGTGTAAACCCCCATCCTTCAGTTGTGGGTATAACAATAATATAATAAATTTTCCATTTAAGTATCCTAAAATCAGGTCCTATGCATCGAGAAATGCTTCTGCCTTCCACTGCTGCTGATGGCGCTTTTAAGTTGGTCTTCACCACATTTGATATTTTCGGATTGATCTTCTTCATAATTTCCTCCATGTTAGCTTTCTTCCTTTTATGGAAGCGGAAAGCTTTACTGTTTTTTCTCTTGAAATCAGTTTGAGATTTTATAAAACCTAAAGATGTTTTCTCTTGATAAAGGATTCGACCAATTTGACATATTATTCTTTCAGGTATCCAATTTCTCCCTTTTCTAAAGTCTGGAGCATATACAGTATCGCTTACTTTCAAACTATGTATAAAATTGGGTTTTATTCGGGCCTTCAAGTAGTTGAGAGCATAGGGCTGTAGCGGATCCCGCATGAAGTAAGATGAGTATAAAGGTGTGTGCGTGCAGCATTTCTCATTGAAAGTCCATCTTCGATATATTTTCGGAAGTTGCATTTAAAGAGGTTACAAAACATTCGGCTAATCCGTTTGGAGGAGGATGAAATGATATAGTTACAATATGCTTGATACCCAGTTTGTTGCAAAAGTTACAAAAAATTTCCGATGTGAATTCAGGATCATTAAATCATCTTGTGCTATAATGTACAGGACAGTCACGTAAGCAAATTACTTAGGTGACTGGTGGTGTAAAATGCAATACACGAAAATGTTACTTCTTACAAGGAAAAATAAAAAATCGAGGTCATGTAATTACGGCTAAAGGCATGCTACCTAATGAGTCTAGAATAAAAGCCATAAGTGATTGCAAGCCAAGGATTTGAAGCAGTTAGAAGCCTTCTTGGGAAAAATAAATTACTCCCTCAATTTTGTACCTAATTTTGTTACCGTTGTGCCTTTGAATCGTTTACGTAAAAAAACATTAAATTCAAATAGAATGCTGATGAACAAAAAGCATTCGAAGACTTAGTATTACATATCGTTAATACGACTAAACTAGCTCATTTTCAAGAAGAATTGCTGATTGTTCTTGGGAGTAATTCCTCTTGTTTTGGCTTAGAAGCAATTTTATCGCGGATTTGTAATGGTTCAAAAAGTCTTATAGCATTCGTTTCAAAGATATTGAACAAACACCAAGTTTATGTTTTGCTTTTGCTATGCACAATGGATTGCATTGCTTGTACGCTGATTTTGTCCCAGTAATTATTCCCGAAACGTTGAAAAGTAGAGTCTTGCCACTTTTATATAATTTTCATTAGGGCATTGTTAAGATGAAATAGTTTTCCAGACAGCATGTATAGTGCTTAAGCATTGATGATGATACTCGCCGTTTAACTTCACAATGTGATATTTGTAACACGGAAAATCCTGCTTCATCTGAGGAATACCAAATTTGGCCGAAACCAAAAATCGAATGGGAACCTATTAATGTCGACTTCACCGGCCCAATTTTCAATTAAATATGGATGATTTTCGTCGACGTCTGTTCCCGATATGCTTACGTGACTGTCCTGTACATTATAGGACAAGATGATTTAATGATCCTGAATTCACATCGGAAATTTTTTGTAACTTTTGCAACAAACTGCAACTGTATCAAGCATATTGTAACTATATCATTTCATCCTCCTCCAAACGGATTAGCCGAATGTTTTGTAACCTCTTTAAATGCAACTTCCGAAAATATATCGAAGATGGACTTTCAATGAGAAATGCTGCTCGCACACACCTTTATACTTATCTTACTTCATGCGGGACCCGCGACAGCCCTACGCTCTCAACTACTTGAAGGCCCGAATAAAACCCAATTTTATACGTATTTTCAAAGTAAACGATACTGTATATGCTCCAGACTTTAGAAAAGGGAGAAATTGGATACCTGAAAGAATAATATGTCAAATTGGTCGAATCCTTTATCAAGAGAAAACATCTTTAGGTTTTATAAAATCTCAAACTGATTTCAAGAGAAAAAACAGTAAAGCTTTCCGCTTCCATAAAAGGAAGAAAGCTAACATGGAGGAAATTATGAAGAAGATCAATCCGAAAATATCAAATGTGGTGAAGACCAACTTAAAAGCGCCATCAGCAGCAGTGGAAGGCAGAAGCATTTCTCGATGCATAGGACCTGATTTTAGGATACTTAAATGGAAAATTTATTATATTATTGTTATACCCACAACTGAAGGATGGGGGTTTACTCATTTTGTTTTTTTCCATGGGGCTTTGGAAAATTAACTGTAAATTTTCAACATCATTTAAAAGGGGGAGTAGTGTTATATATATTCACCTAGTCATAGATTGAATTGACAGTTTTTATATTCTAACTATATGTGCATTCACTAGACACTGTGATATTAATGTAGAAAACGAATAAAACGAAGTGTGAAATTATAAGCTAAAGAGAAAAGATACGTTTTATTTCAGGTTGTGGACAAAACATGAGCAACTTAATGCGACCATTTTAAAGGATATGTTCTGAGTTCTGAGACACATTTATTATAACTTGTCAATGTCTGTTTTGTAGAACTTCTTCATTTAAGCCAAAATTCTTTCTGTGGAGAAGCTTCAACGATAAGTCAGTAGTCATTGAGAGCGCACATAGTGGACAGGTACTCAATTGAACCATATTGAAACAGCATTGTTGTGTTTTGTATGCGATGGCTCTTTTTATTTCTGCATGTAATAATGGCATGTAATATTCGTAGTTAATCTTATGTTCCTTTTCAAGATAGTCGATGCAAAAAATATCATGCGTGTCCCAAAATATGCCATACCCTTGCCGGGTGACTTTTAAATTTTTGTATGTTTTGACGATTTCCACCGGTTGCTATCCATTCAGTGGATAGTCGTTTTGATTCATAAGGTGTCAACTGTCTCTTACAAATGCGGTTTGCTATCTTCCAAAACAATTTTGTGCAGTTTCTTAATGTTTTCTGGAACATCGGTTGAGTTAGGGCGACCGTAGCGTTCTGCATCATCGATACTTGTACGACCGCCTTTAAATGCAGCATATCAATCAATAATAACCGATTTCCCTGTTGTAAAGCATCCGTAATGCTTATTAAGCTACTGTGTGGTTTTAATACTATTTTTTGTTTTATTTTTGTATAATTTGAAGACTGCTATTATGTAAAATTCGTATAGATCTGTGAAGAGTGTTGCCTTATATATGTGTAGCTTTATTTTGCAAAACCCGTGATATCATTTCTACGTATAAGAAAAAACAACAAGCTTATACGGTTATTCAAAGTGTGAAGCCATATAACTTTAAGAATTAGAAGCAAAGGAAATCATTAGTTCGGAATAATACGAATAACGACGATCATTTCGCTTGTACTTACTGATATATTAGGAAGTTTTAACAAAAAATAAAGTGGAAGAGGCCTTATTTTACTGCAACATTAGATATGTTTTTAAGGTTATGTAGTTGAAAATAGTTAGGGCACACCGGGAAGGGGCAAAAAATAGCAATCAAAAAATTTTTGATGCCTGACGAAGATGTGCGTGTTTGAAGGTATTTTGCATCACTTTAGTAGCTGCATAAACATTATTATTTAGGAAATGTAATTTTCATTCAAAATTCAAGAAAAACTTACTGAGCTGAGCATAATTTACCTTATTGGCACACGAAAAAGATGTGTAAATGGCACAGCGCCGCGATTTTTCGAGGGTTGCAAGCATCTTAATTTTGTATTTTTGCGGATGCGAAGCAAGAAAGAGTGTTTTGTTGCATCCTAACAACGTTTTCAAAACTGCATGAAACAGGTTTCAATTGCCATAATCTCTGCCTCGGGTCGCTCCAGAAGTGTATGGGTTGAATGGCAAGCTGCTTGCTGTGGACGTTGAAATCGCCAGCAACCACGATTCTGCTTTTGAGGTCATTATTAAGAATGGAGAATATTGTGTTGGATAGGGTGTTAATGTTATTATAGGAACAATACTATCCGAACCTGGGTTCTTATTAACGAAACCCAAAGTGTATGTCCGGACAATGAACTTCACCCATAGAGAGGTCAATTCGAGATTCTGTTGCTAGCATTGGAGCATCACATAGTTGGGTATACATATATATATGACAAGACCTATGTGTGATATGAAATTATTAATAATTTGATGTCTAGGTAGGCGAAAATCTTGTGGATCGGTGCTTTCGCCTGTCAGACCTTTACAAAGAGTGAATGTGTTAGGCCAAACTTTCCACGTGTGTGCGTGTACCGCGAAGAGATTTGTGCGCAGGCCGTGCACATTGCAATAGTTGATTGTAAACCTTCTCGCCATACGTGAGGATTCCAGTTAATTTAGAAGGTTTACGCTATCGAGTGGTGCTGGGTGTAGCTGTAGGTAGGCAGTAGACTTACAAATGTTATGCCTTTACTCACCGACCGCCCACCGCATGTAACTACAGCCTAACCAGCCTGTGGCATAAATGATGTAGGGTGAGATTTGTGGGTGAGAGTAGAATGTTTCTTTACTTATGTGGTTGGGAGAACATAAAAGCCCTGAGTGGCTGTTTACAATTTTGATGTCTATATATTCTATTGGCGACGTTGTTATTGGCTCTTTTTTCTCTGCAGTTACTATGGTTGTCGCTGTTGATGTTGCTGCTGTTGGTGTTGCTGTTGTTAGTATGGTCGAGTATACTTGTCATACTGTTTGGGTACCGTGCTGTATTACTATTACGGTTGTTGTTGTTATTGCTGACGTTGCTGTTTGCTTGTTTTTCTTTGTAGTTGCAATTATTGTTGCTAGTGTTAACGTTGCTACTATGGTTATTATTTTCGATACCTATTGGCTTTTTAGTAATTCTGTTGTTGCTATGGGTATTGTCTTCTGTGATTGCTGCGGTTCAAGTTGTTACTAGGTCTTGTTACTTGTGCTATTATTGCTTTCATGGTTGATACTGATGGTTCCACTGTTGTTTTTGATTTGGTTAGTGTTCCTTCTTTGATTTTTTTGCTTTATCGGTTTGTGCTATTGCGGTTGTTGTTCTTATAATTGCTACTTTCTTGTGATTTTTGCATCTCATATTTTGCGGATACAATTGCTGCGAAAACATTGCTATATTTTTGTCACTATTATTATCATCATTATTAATGTTGTTGCTGTTACTGGCCTTATAGGTGGTGTTGAATTTTTCGACTACTACTATTGGCTTCGTCGTTTAGTTTTTCACTGCTGTCAGGATTTTATGAATTGTTTCGATTCTGTTTAGTTTCTTAATGCGAGGTGTTATTTTCATGTGCTCACCTTTGGTGCAACGGCTATTTTCTAGCTACTAGAATTTTACCGTTATTTTATTCTTGTTACTAGTACTTTACAGTTTCTAGATTTTTTTTTTTGTTTATTTAATTTCGATATGTTTAAATCTGAAGCTTCTGATTTTTGTTATTCTTTAAAGCTAGTTTGTTATTTTATGAACTTTAACACTTGGGTTTCACACCTTAAACATAAACAATACAGGAAAACCCTGTTTCGAAATTTCAAAATGGAACAAACACAAGCAAAAACGTAACCAATAAGTTAAAAGTTTTCATGAAACACTCATTCGCATTAGTAAGCATTATTAGTAAATGAATCATTTTTAGGAATATAGAATAAAAATATCATCACAGAACCATATTCATTTAAAAACGAACTAATATGTGGGTTTGTAAGTCCAAGACATTTCATATTTCGTCACACGACAATCATCGATATGGAGCGAAAAACAATTCGTATGGTGAAACAACAGCAGTACCTGGTACATTTAGAAGAGAAAGTGGACCAATTCATCATTATTACATTGATGAATAGTCCATAACAAAAAGTGAAGAAGAAAGCTAAGTAAATCGTACCGTCGCAGGTTCAAACTTGATCATATTGAGCATGCCTCTGCCAAGCATTAAGAACGGAAAACTGTGAAACAATCACCTATGTACCATTTAGTGGCAATCGAAAAATTTAACAAGGAAAACACGCCTACGAGAAATGCTACAGTTAATATTTAAAAAAGTGCAGGTCAGCCGCGATTCAACGATTATCTCATTGAAGCTTAAGAGTAGGGTGCCTCCAAACGCAGAAAAATACGAATGAGTGGTTACATCTTAGCTGAAAATTGCAGAAATATAAGGTCAATTGGAGCCCAGTCATTGTCACCGAAGTCTTCAAAAAATATACCTACGGTCTCGAACATAATCCTACGAATCGAAGCATTTTCATTATTTAATTGGATACTATTCATTAGTGTACTGCTGTGCTAAAATGTAGATATAGCATAGGTTGTACGACAAGCAGACGACTTCTTTAAGTAATCGACCTCGCCATGGCTTGACAGAAACGGAACCCTAACAGAACTAAAAGAAAATATAATAAGAAGGTAACCCTTACCAACAAATCAAAAGTGACGAGATGATGTGGAGAGTCTCATCAAAAAGTCGATAAATCATCCCCAGTATGTTTTGTATCGAGAATATACTCATTGTGTCATAATATTTGCGGCACTCAAAAGGAAGCTTCAAAGACTATGAAGAGTATATATTCTTAATCAGAATGAAATTCTAAATTGATTAGGCCGAGTGTGTCCGTCCGTATATCTGTGCGATGTATGTTGTTGACACGTCTCTCGTCGAAGAAACAAGATATCGACTTTAAATTTGGTACGAATCTTAGCAGTTTTTGCACTCTGGTTGGGATTGAAAAATCGGTCAGAGCATAAGCCCGCAGTGAAGCATAAATTAAACGCAATTCCTTTTTTCTAAATAAAATTGTTTGTTCATTATTCACGCATTAATATATACAAAATAAAAGGTTGAAATTTTCCGCACTTGCTTTGCGGAAAGCTGCTTAGGTACAAAAATAGACACAGAGTTACGTCAATTTTATTTTTTCACCTTTTTGAGGTTTTATGCTTATTAAGCATAAGCTGTATAAGACAGAATGTTTGAAACTTCTTTGTACATTTTTCAAATGAAGACATATTATTACCTGCCTAAAGATGTTTTAATTCTAAAATAAATATGATGGACAGCACTATCTGGTAAAGTAAGATGAGTACTAGCAACCAAAATCTCTCTCTCGCTCTATTCTTAAAAACACTACGTTGTTAGTCGCACAAAAATATTTTAATTCTTTGTTGATATTTTACACAACATGCTTTTTTGCAATTTGAAGTTTTTGTTCACACACACATTGTATAAAATGTATGATTCTTGTAAATATATTGTGTTCTTTAGGTACTTTCAAGATTTCGAATTTAGATCTTTGAATTGTAGGAAGCCTTTAGCAATCGCAAAGTATAGGTTTGATTGTAATGGTTTCCTTGCAAATCCAGACTGGAGGAATAAATTTCTTAAGGATTCATCAGTTAATACTGTGAAATCAAGGCGAATTCTTACATGCAGGGACAGAGATTGAAACGGATTAGGACTAACGTTACAATAGTATTATTTATAGTTCAGTTTATTTTTCCTTTTTTTACGGTCGATCCTTTTCATTGTATCGTTCGTGATCAACGATGCAGTAACTGCAGATTTGTCCAAGTCAGATCACTCATTTTCCAAGCAACCAAGAAGTTTTAATCTCATTTTTGTAAGTGGTGATGGCATTCCCTATTTTGCTAATGGTGTTAAGGCAGCTGTTATGATCAACGGACTACGTGTATTAAAAACTTTTTCCTTTTTTTGCGAGCAAGGATCATGATTTGAAGAATAGCTCTAGCTTCGATGGTAAATCCTGACGCACTTACGTGCAAGATTTGATTAAGTTGCACTTGTTCTGTGGCATCTACTATTGCGTAGGCAGCCTCATCGAATCTAAATTTTCGGGAATGCTTAGGGAGATGATTATTTCTTTTGCAGCGTACATATTTTACAAAAGTCTACTGTATGTGGATGATAATCGTTTGCTACACTACTACTACTATTACTTGCGAGCCCAGCTGGTAATAATTGTAACTATAGTAATCAAATTTTCACAAAAATAGTCCAATTAATATTGAAAAGCACGTAAAGCGAAGGAGTCAAAAATGAAAGTGATATTTTCACCTACGAAGACACTGGAAACGCGATTGTATAGGTAAATAGTGACAAAGATGAAAGTGAAGGTGAGATTGATCTCCATTCTAACAATGTCAATGTTAATATTACAATTTGCATAAGCAATCGGCTTAAAAAAGTAAAAAAGACCTTCTTAAATCCGCAAAATATGCTTGTATTTAGGAAAAAAAACTATGCCTGGGGAAAAAACTGTTCATGTCGTCACTTTGTGTGGAAAATTGGAAAAAATCAAGACAATGTTCGATGAATCTCGTTATTTAGAGCGCTCATCTTCTCCTCCAGGCTGCAAAAGACCAACTTGTAGTGTAGTGTGCGGTACTTTACCTCCGCCTTCGCCTAAATCTTATTCGTTGACTCATGTGAGTGCTTCAATCCTTGCCTACAAAGAACGTTAGCATTTCCGCTATCGTTGAGTCGGCCGGTAATAAAATAGTCACAAATAAACTGAGAAGTCCTTTCGTTTTAATTATGCTGAAGTGGCAAAGGCATTTTCTCCCGGTGGTGCCATTCTGGCTACTTTGTGCACATCTGCCAAAAATAGTACTAAACTTAACAAATCGGCCTCTCACGCTAGCTTCTCGGGTGCGTCTGCTGGTCACCGTGCTGGACAAGTTGCACAAGCTGCACGTGCTACTGTAATTATTTCCTCTATTTTCGCGACAACTTAAACCCCTTTACCTCGGTATCCTATTTTTCCTAGTAGGGATGACGTCCACTTGATGGTAGTACCCTCCAGAAAGAAAAAATTTGTATCAAGACTGGCGATTAACACCTCTGAGGATAACGTAAAAGTTGTCTGGCTGCAAAAGTCCCATCGGTCAATTTGAAGCGTGTAACGATTCTCAAACTGGCTTCATTTCAACCTAGAGTTATTTCGTCTTTTAAAGCAAACATGAAAATTTTGTTAAACAAAACATTGTGGAGATTGCAATACCAATTTGGCAGTTCTTCGACTATAAGAAAACTAAATGTTTCTCTATGCTCAGTAACTTAAAAATCCGCTCTACTTTCATAAATTCAGTGGACACGGATTTTTTCTCATTTGGCCTTCACTGAAACCTAGTTAAAGACTGATTTATATTCGTCGGAACTTTTTCATAATTCTTTCCAGGTTTTCAGAAAGGATCGATTGTTCCGCACTGGTGGTGGTGTTTTAATTGCCATCTGTTGCAGTGCCGTTCTACTGCATTGAAGTTCCTGTCCCTCTCGACATTGACTTTGCCATTCGGGCGAAAATTGCCAATAAATAGTTGTAGGTAACTTGCTCTTATTTTCCCCAAATGTGAATATTTCTATTTATAAAAAACTTGCTATCCTCATTTGTGACGTAGCTGAAAAGTGTAAATCTTCCGATCTAGTTACAGCGTTGGGGGACTTCATTTTGGCACTTGGTGTTATAGTGATAATTCTGACTGTATGGTCCCCACTTCAACATCTGATAGAGCTATTATGGGTTTCAATGAATCATTTCATCGTAATTTACTTCAACTAATATTTTACTACTTAAACTCTTAACTTAATATTTACTACTCACTTTTCACCTTGATTTCTCTGCTGGAAATATTGAAACCTTACTATCTGCGTTCTATAATATTTTCAACTTAGTTATTTCTGCATCAGTTTCGATCAAGCAACCTCGCGCTCAAAGCAGATGTCTGCCATGGTTTAACAAGAAAACAAAATATTGCAAAAATAGAGAGAAAAAACTTTTCCCAATATTTGTGAAAATTGCTTCTCTTACGATTATTTTGCCTATTCTGTATCAAGGAATAAATTTAATTACCTCAATCAGTAATATTATTGCAGATACCTTCAGTTGATAAAATCCTGTATCCTTGGAATTGCAACCGTCTTCAAATCTTCAAATTGTCTTAAATAATTTGATTACATGGTACTCGTTCTATTTTATGAAAATAAACCTAAAAAAATGCAAGAAGCTTTCTTTCTTAAGAGGGAAGTCGTTCAGTACTGGATATTTCATTGAATCACGCAACTTGGAAAACGTTGATCCATTCATCGACTTAAGGGTTCTATTCGACCAAAGATTACGTTTTAATTTGCACGATGAGCTCTCTATAAGTACAGCTAGGTCCGCGTTTGATTTCATAAAGAGGTAGTCCAAAGAGTTGAAGAATTACATTACAAAAAGGCTCTATATGTGCTTATTTTAGCTGAATTTTATGTGTAAGTAAAATAAATAAATAAAAAGGAGGATCAGGTAACTCTTTTTCGCGTAGAATTT